CTAAACGTTATTTATCATCTCATAAACTAACAACAAACAAATTTCACAGAGCCCAAACTTCACTTAGGCACAAAGGACGGAAAAGAGTTTTACAGAAATCGCAAAAGAACTTTCGAACCTTAGGATGCCTCAGGATCACAAAAGAAAAGAGCATTCAAACCCAAAATATAATATCAACCAAAAGAAGAACACAAACACAAAAATCTACAACAGATTGGAAGCTCCATAGAAACCAACTTGAAAAAATAATACAAACTATAAGTGGGGAAAAAGAAAGAACTAACTTGTTAGAAAAAAGCAGCCCGAAAACACAGAAATCATAGCATTGGATACCAAGTAAACAGCTGAAAAAAAAAAGTATAAAACAAATTAGTCCATACGTTAAAAAAAAAAATAGAATAGAAATAGAAATAATATACATATATATGGAGAAAAGAAAGGACCCAATGAAATTCAGAGAGAAGAATCGTAAAATGGAGAGAACAGGCAATAGCGTGTGAAAATGGAGAAGAAGGAAGAAATATCCACCTAAATTGAGGACAAGTGGGTGCATCACTGTAGCTTGCAATTTATTTATTTTTTTTGCAGACGGCGTCGTTTTTATTCCAGAGATGAAAAAAAATTTTGCTACAGTGTGTGAAAATGGAAGAGCAAACGGCGTCATTTTTGCTCCAGAGATTAAAAAAAAAAAAAAAAAAAAAGGTTGCTACAGTGTGTGAAAATGGAAAAATCTATTGTTCTTTCTACAGTGACTAATATTGTCCTTTTTATATAGTAGTGACATCTTCTCGGGGTTTTGCACATATGGCACATTCTGTTCTAACGGAGTCCACATTACTAACAATAGAAGCCCAAAATTAGGAGCTTCAAAAGTGGGCTGCAAACTAGTCCATAAAAATTTAGGAATTAAACAACGGAAATTTTCGTATCTACGTCATTACGAAATAAATATTCAAGATTTACTATGTGATTTTTATAATCCAAATACTACTTTGTGTTATGGTTAATATTTTGGAAAATACTATATACCCTATTTAGACTCCATATAATCTTTGTAACTGAAGTTAATTTTAATTACTCAAGTATTAAATTGGTAATTTATTGTTGTTTCTAAGTAAAACTTCATTGGCCAAAACCATAACACATACTTTTTTTTGGGGGGGGGGGGGGGGGGGGGGGGATTTTTTTTTTTTTTTTTTTTTTTTTTAAATTTTTTTTTTTTTTTTTTTTTCACTTCTTCTTCTTCTTCTTCTTCTTTTTTTTTCCCTTTTTTCCCCCCTTGAATCCATCAAGCATAAATGTTCTCTTGTTGCAAAAACACATGATTTTTTGTTCAGGACTCAATAATCTTCTAATTCACTATATAATAATCCATCTAGATACGCATAATTTGCAGAAACATATGTTCATATGCTATCTATTATTATTTATAAAATTTTGGTAAGTTGCGTATTTGATGCCTCATATATAGCTCACAATTGATTGTTCCGTATGAATGATGTGATTTACATTTTTTTTTATTTTACTATATTTTTAAAAGTATATTTTGAATAAAATTAATGACAAAGTAATTGTTTAAACTATATCAAATATATGTAAGGGGTGTAATTATATCAAATGCACACTAATTTAGTCACACAGAGATGTTGAGTGAGACAAGCCAATGAATTGACACGGCTCGCGAGCTGAGCTCGACGCTCTCAACGCTTCTCATTTAATACCCTTATGTACATTCAATCTATTCACAAAATGCACAGAATTTAGACACGCCCAATTTATCCATCCAAAAAAAATAAAAATAAAAATAAAAAACTATCATATTCTATGTTCTGTAAAAGCTATTTCTATGTTCTGTATTATAATAAAGGTTATAATTAACAAAGAAAATTAAAAAAAAAAATATTCACCTCAGAATCAACTCTAGAAAGTCAAAGGCATTTTGGCGTGTAAGCAATCCATGTTTCAAGATTGAGTAAGCTCTTGCTCTCTAATTTAATGGAAAATTTGAAAATTTTCAAGTTTCCTTCCAAGACTTTCAAGGTGAACAATGTGTTGGATAAGTACAACTTGAGACTGAATTATAAATAAAGAGTAGATTTTTCAAGAGAAATTGCGAATAAAATTCAACATTTATTTTTATTGATACTTTACCTTCAACTTTCTCTACAGTTCAAACAGCGATTAGAATTTTTTCCTTCATTTTCAATCCTTTTGCTTTATTGGACTCCTTGTAGGCACAGTGTACAGACAGTTCTTGTTCCCTTGTCTGTTGGGATACATCTCACGATTTATCTCCCTCGCAAAACTCTAGGGGCGGGGTGGTAAGGGCCCTCAAGGTTGGAGTTCAACCTTTTTTTTTTTTTTTTTTTTTTTAATGGGGGGGGGGGGGTGTTTTTTTTTTTTTTTTTTTTTTTTTTTTTTTTTTTTTTATTTTTTTTTTTTTTTTTTTTCTAAATGGGCGAGGGGATAGCCAAATATTTCGTCAGTTCTTTTATCAGGATTAATTTGTACAATTTTTTTTTCTTTTTCATGTTTTAAATGAATCCCAAATTTAGCATCTATTAGCATAGTAGTCCAATTCAAAACCAGCTAAAAAGTCGACTTTTAGACTTTTAAACTTGTCCGAACAGCCTCTTATCAAGATAGCTCAAATTTCTCTCATTTTCTTTCCCATTTATTTTTGCTTTCGCAACATAGTGAAAATAATAGGCAGGGGACCTATAATGATGATCCCACATAGAGTTGTTTCTTTTTATTTTGGGCCATGGTTTTTTTATTGTCCATACGAACGAATAATAGAAAGGAGTTAATGTTTTCCCTGAAATATCGAGCATCTTTGAATCTTTGATAGAGAAATTGCATGCATAACATAATAATTATATGTTTTATTTATTTTTAGGGTCTGTTTGATTGTAAGATAGAATTAAATTGAATTGAAAGCAAATTTCAAGGAATTGAATTGTCCAGAAATTTTATTTTTCTGAGAATTATAAATTATTGTGTTTGATTAGTATAATTTTTCAAGTAAAAATGTTAAAATAAAAGTATTTTTTGGTATTCGTTTGGCTCTCTTTGACATGAAAATTGTTAATTAAAGGGATAGATTTTACTGGTATTGGGGATGAAACTTGTTTCCATTGCAAAAAAAAAAAAAAAAAACTTCTATTTTTTGATATTTTGTTTGACTTTGTTTTACATGAAAATTTTCAATTAAAAGGAAATATTTTTTTACAATAATTTTTAGAATTTGTTAACTTTGCCAACCACGGAAAACCAATTGCCACCTATAAAAACCAAGAAAATTTCAAATTAAAAAAAAAAAAAAAAAAGGAACTTGAATTCCATGAAAAATATACCCATCAAACATCTTAAAAATTGAAAAATGTAGTTAAAATTTCATTTTCCATGAAAAATTTTGGTGTATCAAACACACTTATTTCATATATTTTTTACTAAGAACTACAATTGAGATCCTTATCAAGAAAAAGTTTCCATACGCTCGAGTAAGATGACATATGAACTTCACTATTAGCATAAATTGTCAATTTTTCTTCTTTATCACTCTATTTGCTTGTTTGGTGAGTGTTTAAAAATAATTTAAATTATAATTTTATTGAGCAAAATACTAGGAACTTATCCAAGAATTTAGAACCACACGATTCATCAAAAATAAGAAAACAAAGCTTGAATTTATTTGGTCCTAATCGGAAAGCTATATCTGTATTCATTATTATAACTTATGTTATTCAATAAGTAATCAAGACAACCAAAAATTATTTAATCGAATAAGAGTTGGCCTTTTGGTTTGTAAACAAGCCAATTTCAAGATTAAGCAGATATTTTACTATCTTATTTAATACAAATAAAATTTCAAGTTTCCTTCTATTTTTAAATTGAGCTACACTTAAAAAAATAAATAAATAAATTAGTTGAGTTTTTTTTTTTCACTAAATAATTATAATTCCTAGGCACATTATTAAAGGAGACATTACTTTTAAAATAAAAAAGTTGCATGAGACATTTTCTATTTAAAAATTATAATTACTAATTTTCTTTCCCTTTGTTACCAAACAAGGGAGGGAAAAGTTATATATCATTTTCCATCCTCTCGTTTTTACCTTATCCTATCAAGGACGAAGTTTGGTACTTGTAATAAAATAGATATCGAGATAAGTCAAATTTTCTTTTATGCTTTACAAAACATAGCATAACAAAGTGACAATAGATAAGAGACCTTATTATGATCCCCACTTACATTTGTGTACATGGTTTGCTTTTATTTTGGGCCCTACTTTTTTATTGTAAATGGGTATCAATACAGAAAACGAGACGTCTCGTTCATGAAATGTAGAGCATCTTTGAAAATTTTTATTCAACTTTTTTTCACAAACTTTTTGATTGATACTGATAGTGAGACGTCTTGTTCATGGAATATCGAGCACCTCTAATAATCTTTATATAACTATATTTCACTTACTTTTTGACTATGAACCAAAATTAGGGTGACAATAGTTCGTTAACAAAATCTAAACAAATTTAAATTGACAATCGATTATTTGAATTATTTTTTATTTGATTTCTTCACGAGTGCACTAGTCATCACTTCTTAATTGTTATCAATTAGTGTCAACTTCATTTATCTTTTTTATATATTTTTATTTAGGATAAATAGTACAAAAATGTCTTCACCTTTTATTTTTTAACATTTTCATTCCTATTTTCACATTTTATTGTCCAAAATGTCTTTTTCATCCATTTTCCAATTAAAAAAGGAATTTACCCTCCTATGCAAATTTAAAAAAAAAAAAATGAAATGAAAGGATAAAAATTAATTGCAACAACGGTCCCAAAATTTCAAAAAATTACAAATTAATCATAAATATATAATTAAAAATCAAAATCAAAACAAAAATAAAAAATCATTCATCTTTTTTCTTGTTGCACCATGGGAGCTTGTTGGTAAACCTTGTAGTTTTATAATCATTCTTCAAAACTGTCAGTGCCATTTTTAAACTAAGGGTTCTTGATTTCTTTTAGCTTTTGTTTTTACCCATTTCAAGAATCTTGTAAATCTAGCAACTTATTGTGAAATTTTTGTGTGGTTCTTTAATTGCAATAGGGTAGATTTTGTTACCATTCTCCTTGTTCAATTTTGATAAAAATTGAATCATTTTACTGTTTGAACTATGAGCCCTTAATTCCGAAGCTACCTAAAACCTTACAAACTCATTTGTTTAAGCCTGTGTTCAGCGGAAATCACGCCTCTACTTTCGTTTAAAAACCATTTTTCTTGTATGATTCTTTATTTAGAATCAGATCTTGGATTTTGCCTGATTTGATGGGAATCGAATCACATAGTCAGGAAATGGAATTTGCAGGTAAGTCTAAACCCTTTAATCAACCTTCAAATATTTCTGAAATTGTTAGTAAATTGGCCAATTTGCCAAAGTGCGTAAGTTTAGATCCATTGGTGTTTTTAATATAGCTGAAAACCTGTACCAGAGTCGCAGTCACCAGCAATTTTTCCACAATACTGCACAATCCTTTGCTGAAGAGAGCATCAGTGATGCCACCGAGGAGACTGGGTTTGATTTCGAGAAAATCCATTCGCAATCTGCTGAGACACGAAAAGAAGGGAATGAGTTTGGGCTTAGCGTGCTTTCAACTTTGAAATTAGCATATGCTAAGCTCCAAGAAGCTCACATCCCTTCCAATTTTGGAAAGATTGGAGCTGCTGATGAGCAGGTGGACGAAGATGATGAATGATTTTTATTTTTATTTTTAGTTTTGATTTTTAATTATATATTTACGATTAATTTGTAATTTTTTAAAATTTTGGGACTATTATTGTAATTAACTTTTTACCCTGTCATTTCATTTCTTTTTGTTTTATTTGCATAAGAAGGTAAAATCATCTCTTTACTAGAAAAATATATGAAAATGACATTTTACGCAGTAAAATGTGAAAATAATGATAAAAATGTCCAAAAATATGAATATTTTATACAATGACATTGAAAGGTAAGAACGTTCTGTACTATTTACCTTTTTGGTTCTGATTTTATTTATTAGAATCACACTTCCCTAAGGGCCTGTCCAGATTTCAATAGTAATAATAAAAATTGATTTTTTGACCATTAGAGAAAAAGTGAATTATATTTATGAGTGAAGAAGTAAAAAATGAGAGTAATGCTATTCGTAGTCGTTCACTGCGGTAGTCGTCCTTCGTGACATACACATGGTAAGTAATTATTTGATTTATTAATATGGTAGTTTTTTTATTCATTAATGCATCAAATAACTATCTGTCATGTGTATGTCACATAGGGCGATTGACGGATTGCAAATAGCATTATTCAAAAAATGATGGCTAATTTAGAAAAGTAACGATAAAAAATATGAAAAGTCAAAACCAAACAGGCGCTAAGTTTGGTATCAGGTACATTGAACCTGGACACACAAATATTTGCCTATAAAACCCCTTTTGTATCAAACGTTTTCCACGGCAATTCATCGTGAGTAACAGCCCCTATACTTCCACTAATTTCTCTTCTTTTTGTACAAAAATGGCTCCGACAATTGCGGTGTCCTCCGCCTACACGAAGCAGCAATACCGAGTCGCCGCTGTTTCTGACGACGCCGAGGTGTTGAAGAAAAGAAACGAGGAGTTGGAGAAGGAACTGAAAAGGAGTCTAGAGAGGGAGGAGAAAATGAAGCAGGAATTACAAAGAACATACGAGCGGCTGAGAGTGGCGGAAGAGGCGGAGGAGCGGCTTTGTTCACAGCTCGGAGAGCTCGAGGCGGAGGCGCTCAATCAAGCCCGGGATTACAGGACCCGTACGATGTCGTTAATGGAACAACTTTATTCCGCACAGAAACTTCTACGGGAAGCTTCAATTTCTCTCCCCAATCCTCAGTTATGCTGCTTAAATTCACCAGTGCTTAAAAGTGACTTTTAATTACTTTTTTATACTGTGAAAATAAGCAGTTAAATATGGTGCTCGATCTTCAGTAAGGCTAAACATGCTTAAATTCCACTTTCTTTATATATATATAAGTTTGAGATTCTGTAATCGGAATTTTTTTTTTTTTGGGGGGTGAGTTTCCCTCTGTGTGGCTGAATTGGAGTTGTGCATTGAGTTGTTTTTTCTATGTGGAAACGGAAGATTTTTGTGATATTTATTTCTGTTCATAATTTACTCCCTTCTGTATCATTCTTTTCTTTTTCTTAAGATTAAAAATTTGAAATCTAAAAGTGGGAGAAATGGGTAATGCTTACTGATTTACCTTTTAATTGAGAATATTAGGATTGGACTCCTCGATATTTAAGGATTATTATTTAGCCTGAGCCATTTTTTTCGTTATAATGTATTTTTAAATAGTATATTGATGAAAAATATGTAGTTAAAAAATAAAGAAAAATTTTGAATTTACGTGTAATATTATTTTATTGAAAAATATTTGATTGAAATAATGTTAAATCATTGTTTAAGAATATATATATATATTTTTTTTTTTTCAAATATGGCTCAAACATGACTTAGCCATCTTTTATTAAAAGTGAAATTTTGAAATTCTAACATATTTCAATTAATAAAAGATTTATTCTACATGTACACCCAAAATCTTTGTTGTGTATAGCAAAATTCTTTTAGTTGAATTGGAGATAAATATCAAGTGGTTCAACAATTTCGTACTCTAAGGATTCGTTTGATTGCAAAGATGGAATTGAATTGAATTGAAAATGAATTTTAGGGAGTTGAATTGTCTAGAAATTGTTTTTCTAAGAATTGTAAATTATTTTGTTTGATTGAGATAATTTTTCATGTAAAAATTGTTGAAATAAAAGTGTTTTTTGATCTTCATTTAACTTTATTTTATATGAAAATTGGGATAAATTTTATTGGTATCGGGGATGAAATTTATTTTCATTACCAACACACACACAAAAAAACAAAAATTTCAAGAAAATTATCTATCTTTTGGTGTTCGTTTCTCTTTGTTTTCCATTAAAATTGCCATTTAAAGGGAAATATTTTTTTTACCATAATTATTAAAATTTATTTCCGTTGCCAACAATAAAAAAAATCGAAACAAAATATAAAAAAATTCTACAATAATCGAGAATTCCAATTCTCACCATTTTAGTGAGAATTGGAATTCAAGGAAAACATAAAAATTAGCTTAGGTGGCATAAAAGATGGAATTAGAATTCTAGAAAAAATTTTGTTAATCAAACAACAAAAAATTGGAAAAATGAAATTTGATTTCCATTTTTCATAGAATTAAGGTACAATCAAACATAACCTAACTTCAAGTCATGTTAAAATTATGTACATTTTCAATGTTTAAGTTGACCGTTCATGAAAGGACTCAAATTGACATATTTAAATAATTTGGAGATCCAAAACAAGTGATTGCAAAGACTAATTATAACATGGAAAGTTTGCGGGACTTAAACCCGATTCCCCTTTTTGATTTTACATATCACGAAAAAGATTTTACTCAATTCCTTGGATAAAAAATTGAAAAAATGGTGAACTTAAGCCACCTGTTTGACAATCATTATTAAAAAAAAAAAAAAAAATTGTTTACGTCCTTATTTTTAATCAAACATTCATACAATAAAAAATTCTGCATAAAAATTTAAAATTTTTTCCTACTTTTTAACTATATATTTCCTAAAAAATAAATATTGAAAACACTGTTTGTCGAAAACAAAGGTTGTCAAACAGGGGTTAAAAATTCTTCATTCTTAGCCATTTTACCACAATCTTACCACTCTCTTTTTATTTCATTGGTCAAAATTGAAAGAGCATTACACATTATTTTAAAATACGTTATAAGTGATGTAAAAGTAATATTTAATATCAATTTGAAGCAAGATTTGGTGAGTTTTGAATGATATGCATAAAATATAATTTAGCATAGAAATTTAAGAGAAAAAAAATTATACTCTCAAAATTCAATTTTTATCATTCAATTTTTTTGTAACGATGAAATATTATAAATGAGCAATTTTTTTATATTACATTTGATACATAAAAATTAATTGTTAATACATAAATTTAAACATCCATTAAAAATTTTAGATACATGAATATAAATAAATTCATTTATAATAACTCCAAATTTACTTAGCCCCTGTTTGGGAGCCATTTTTAAGAAAATTAGTAGAAAAATTATGACCGTTGAAATGCCAGGCACGAACCACGATAGAGATAAACAGTCAAAAAGTGCAGCTGAAATTTGAAATTAACGGTCAAAACTCTCATTCTTCTCCCTTGAAAATGGCTCCCAAACAGGGGCTTAATTTAAAATTCATCAAGTGAAAATCTATTAAATCTAAATTAATGCGAATGTTAGTTAACTGAGACAGTACAGAAAGGGAAAGTTCAAACCCGCAACAAGCTTAAATCAAGCCTAGCTGTAGAATGGTAGGTCGAGGCTGGCTCACTCATTTTGACACTCCTGCCGCATCTTGTGCAAATCACCCCAAACGAGCCCTTTTACTTTATTATACTTATTTCAACAATCAGCCACAAAAGGGAAAAATTAAAACTACCAATTAAAGACCACAAGGCCTGATGCTTTGCATCTCTACTTCAGCAACAATGTACTTCTCTATGGCATTTTTTTGGTTTCACTGGAGGATCATCTCCATGGCATTAACTAATTATGCAACAATTTACATCAGCTAATAGGATAAAAACCAGCGAAGATTTTAGGATAATTTCAACACAATGACGATTTGTTCAGGTAATAAATTTGATCGAGCAATCAAGAAAAGATCTTGAAATTGATGTCATCACCTGCCTAAAGTTCAATGCCATTTTTACTACTTTAAGGGCAGGTCTTAAGTAATTTAATCTGCTCCTTTATCCAATAGAAATACAAATATTCCATGCTCCATAGTCCCTTCTTTGTTCTAAAATGAACATAAAATAATAATGAAATTCGTTTAAGAAAGCATAGTATCTAAACTCGGGAGACTCAAGCCATTGTAAGCCAGAAGTGACGCGATTAGGAATAATTTCTAATTCCGATTCTAAAACCTCAACCCATGTTATTGCATAATAAGAGTTCAATTAGATAACTGCTAAACCGTAAGAATAATTTGGGGAAAATGTCGATCATAAAATAACTTGTACCAAGTCGAAAATGCAAGTATATGACAATATTTCATCATGCAACATGGTAACATAACAAAATTGTCGTCTCTTCATTTAGAAGAATGGAAACTATTTCATAATTAAACAAGCATATTTAAGGAATGGTTTCTAGCAATAATTCAATGGCTACCTCTTCGCCTTTCTTTCAGCTCTGGATCCCTGCAGACACAAAAGCAAATCACAATTTCAACGTTTTCAAGTATCAAATTGTACATAGTTTTATGGGTAAACCATGGCTAATACCTCTCTATATGATCAAGAATAAGGAGTCTTGGTCCAGGAGGTATTTTCACATCTCTGAGAGCACTGTAATCACAACGGCAAATTAAAAGGAATTGGTGACATGCACAAGCCCGATACAATTATTCAAACAATTAATAAGCCTCCATTTGGCAAGCAATTTATAAGTGGTTTTGTAGATCGAGTCAAAGTCAAAACATTAATTTCAATCACACATTCAGAGATACTACTCATATTATCCAAACATTTGGTGAAATCCACTACTATTCCTATTTATAAGCCATTTATAAAATTTGCCAAATAGAGGCTAAGTTAGTTACTTTGTTTACGAATATGTCATTTTCTTCTTAGTTTCAAGTACAAAAGTTGCTTGAAAGTAACTCTTACCTTATTGCCCAAATAAGTAAGTATTTTCAAGATCAATAATAAGATGTATTTATATTAAAAATTGCATTTCACTTAAAAAGTAAATTACTTGTAAGTTAACCTTTTAAGCTTAGCAAACAGGCTCTAAGCCTAATACTTACCTATCATTCAGCAATGGCAAAGTGCTGTCAGTCAACAATCCTTTCTTAAAATTCTTCTCATAATTCTGCAAGCCAAGGCAGCTCAGCATGGATCTTGTTTTCAAATAATTCACATCTTCAGTTGGTGGTTGTGAGAACTTCTGTCCTAACTGCATCAACCAATATTTAAATTTTGGGAACAATAGAAAATAGAGAGATTCAAAAAGAAAAATCTATTATTGTGATGATCTGGAAGAAATCCACTATCCGTCTCAAGACCTTAATTACATGTAAAAAATTGGTACAAGATCATGGAACAGAAGTCTTCAAACTACGCAAATTTTTTGACTAGATTTAGCATGTTTGCATCCCAGATTATATTTAGTAAACCTGGGGAGATTCAAAAAGAAAAATCTATTATTGTGATGATCTGGAAGAAATCCATTATCCGTCTCAAGACCTTAATTACATGTAAAAAATTGGTATAAGATCATGGAACATAAGTCTTCAAACTACGCAAATTTTTTGACTAGATTTAGCATGCTTGCATCCCAGATTATATTTAGTAAACCTGGGACATAAATTCAATTAGAAGCCAGGATTTCCTCCACTTAACGATCACCTGAAAAAGGCCGCCTTGAACGAGTGCAAAGAAAAGACCAGAAGTAGCAGCATTTGCTGCCTGATTTGGCCCACCCATCCCAGTAACTAATGAGAACATGGCCCCAGAACCAAAAGCTGCAACCATACTGTAAGAATTGAAAGCAGTCAACCATCAATTTTTAAGAAAGACAGCAAACACAGCTAGAAGGATTGAAGAAATGACAATGTAATAGAACATCATCAAAATATAGAAGGCTTAAATGTAGATGTTTTTGTAAGGAGAAATCATAAAAGCAACCGATAAAGGAGGAATATTCAGATTGAAAACATATCATGCAAAAACTTCAGGGTGTGTATACTGAGGTCAATCGTGTATGTGAGACAAGCTTACAAATTTTCCAACTACCACGATTGACTAGGTCATTCCCCTCCTAATACATAGACAAACTTCAGACACACATAAAAGTTCTGTTCCCATGATAAAATCACTTGGATCAAAAGCTCCTTACTTTCCCTCTTCTCTTATTTCCTCTTTCTTTTGAAGGTTACCTCTTCTACTCTTGAAGACATATATTGGTTGTTAGTATATAGTAGCCTGTGGACATACACCTGTTGATATGTTATAAAAGTTAAGGAAGAAGATGCAAGGTGGTGGGTTGGATCTTCGGAAACCACCACGGAATTAAACTTTGGCTAGCATATCTGGGTGAGTAGCAATTGCATTTCAACAGGAAAAAGATAAATCTATGACAAAAAGCACAAAAAAGGGAAGATCCACAAACATACACTTATATCATTCCAAGGATAAATATGCTCTTTCAGGGAACCCATTTGAAGCTGCTAAGTGCTAAGCATATTGCAGTATCCCTGATTTTAAAATCTTGTTTAATAAAGCAGACATTAATGTGAGCCTAGTGAGATAAAACTAATACAGAACATGACAGAAACAGACCAGCAATGTTCTATGTAGCCTAAAGAAAATAAAACAAGAGAGGCAGACTCCAGATATAGCACTTCTAAATAAATCTGATCATACTATCTCATGAAGAGTAATAGCATTTTAGATGGGAGTGAAGAGGAGAAGCTACGGTGGCAGCTTTACAGTCATTTTGTACCAAAGTGTTCAAGTAACATTTACGTTTTTCAATGACTGTTCTAGTCACTCCTTTAAAGTTCTACGATATCAAACACAACCACTAGGTCCACTACATGCAATTGCTGAAGTTTCATGAGAAAATGGAAATATTTTTATCAGGCATTGTCAAGATGTCGTCTTTGGAAAAATGCATGAACGCCCATAGATGAACATATACAGGACTACCATCCAGGAAGTACATAGATACTTGGTCATGTGACCACATTAACCAAGAATTACATTGAAAATAGTTATATGAGAACTTTATAGGTTAATGTCAAAGTGAAAAATCATACACAAAATAATCTATATGTTCACAAAATAGTTAATTTCTTAAAGGCACAGAGAGAAGGAGACACAGGAAAAATGAGAACTTTATTGTGCACAAAATGTCTAATTTTTTTTTTTTGGTAAATAAGGTGTCGATACACAGAGTTGAACTCTCTTTATTTAACACTCCTTTTTCTTTCTCTTGTCTCTAGTTGCACGTGCATGCACATTGGAAGTACAAATGGGCAATGCATTGAGTAAGCTTACCTAGATTGAACATCCTCCTTGCCTCTCAATCTTTTCATGACACACGAAATGCCAGCATTGACACCTGTCATGACAGCAAAATTGCGGGCTTGTATCAAGGGACCTCCTGCAAGAGCCTGCAGGCAAAATCAGAGAGTAAGACTTTTTTTATCCCCCGAAAAAACCAGAGTATCTGAGTAAGACTTTGTTATCACTTCTCATATATCTAACTGAACACACACACACACACACATTGATTACAGAAAGTGGTGTACTAAACACAGCAAAAGTTAAAATCTTCGGAGTAAACGATTTAATTTAATGGCTTCATGAATAAGTAATAACACATCTTCAACAAAGGTTATCTGAAAATTACAACTCCTCAAAACTTTCCACAAAAAATATCAAAAGTGTGTAATCCAAGAACAAGCATCACAAGAATTTGGCATAGGTAGTTAGAACTCAATCTCTTAAGTAATTCAATCCAAAAGGTTGAAGATCATAAAATTATGGATCTATTACCAATCCCTAATTGAGAATCGCACTACTGTAGAAACAGCAAAATTGAAAGCGGAACTCGAGATAAAGTGACAGTCTTTAAGGCTTAACAATACCAAATGCCCAAAACCCAGAAACATGAGCTAACCCAAACCGTCAAGATTCATTCCAAACCAATATGTATATACACAATTAAGAAAATATCTATTACACACAAATAAATATATAAAGCAGCAAGAGTGCAAAGAGAAACCGGAACTTAAGAGAGTGACAGTCTTCAAGGCTTAATTTATTACACAGAAATAAAAATTAATCGAGGGCAAATAGAACAATGGAAGAGATAGACCTGGGCTTGTTTAAGAGACGCCATGGCTTCGGGGTTCAAGTTGACACCCTCAGTCGGAGGCGTAAACAGGGAGGTGGAGTCACCAGTCAAAGTTCCCATGAAGGCTCCGATGGCGGCACCCTGGGCGGCGCTGGTGGTGGTGACGACGGCGGCCTCCACAGGTAACGACTGCTTGGCCAACCAACCCTTGAACACACTCTCCAGTTCCTTGAACTTGGCCTGCACCACTGCAATCGGATTCTGCTCCCTCTGGCCCATAATTCCGCCGGCCTTCGTTGGAATTTCCATCACCATAACTCCTTGCTTACTTTCACCCATAATTTCGTGAAGATTCTTTGAAATTTGATTCAATTTGTGTTGAAACTGTGGAAAGTTGTAGCCTTGAGCATATAGTGAGAGGTTTAGATATGATAAAGGAAATGGATAACATATATTTTACTGCCAAAATTACCCCTAAAACCCATAAAAAAGGGTTATGAGCTTGCTTTGCAAATGGACAAACTCAGATATTTGCCCTAATTTGAAAATTCACTTCCATTTACCCTTTTTTTCTTTCATTCATATTTTTTCAAAAATCGAGATAAGTAACATATAGTCCAGAGGTAAGGGTTGGTCAAAGGGGTGGCAATGGGCCAAGCCCTATTGCCAACGAGCTGGGCTTGAGGTTCATTTTGAACGAGTCGTGCTTATGCTTTGCTCGTTATTCGTGGCCAAGCTCATGATTTTCTTTTTAAATCCTCGTCCTTTGAGTAGGCAAAATTAAAAATTATACATGAACAATTCGTTACGTATATAAATTTTTTGAAAAATTAAAAATAATATTATGAAATAATAAAATTTATTAAAATGATTAAATATATCATTAACCTGACGATACGCAATTTCTACATGCTTATCTTGCAGTCAGAAATAAGTATTTTGCTAATCCTTCATGCATATTTATGCTTCCAAAGCATCTTCTTTTTGCCTGTTAATTATTTAATAGCTTTGCCAATTGATTTCTTTGGATGTTCAAGCAATTCTCCATGTCAAATAATTCTTCTCTGGAGAATTTTAAGGGGTAGTGATGGAGCTTAATTTAATTGTTGGAAATGAGTTATCTTATCTTTGCTCAACATATCTTAGAAATGGCCATTGGCACACACCATGTATTTGGCAAAAATTCATTGTCTTGGTCTCTCTCATTCAAAGGCACTTTTAATCATCATCTTTATTATTCGAAGCAAGTTCTAAGACATCACATTTTTTTAAGGCGAGTCATAGCTCATTGATTTTTTATCATTACAAGTAGCATTCTATAAGTCCTCATTCCTTGAATAAAGGAAAAAAATGTATCTTGGACTCATTTTCCTTGAATAAAAGGAAGAGGCAAATTTACTAGACGTGTGTATCCTTGCAAAATGAGCATTTCCTGACCTTACTTATGAGATGTTTATTTCTCGCCTTTCTCTATCATCGAGTTTAGCTGTAAGCCCTCCTCTATCTAAAGCTGGTTATACGACTCAATAGTTGGAAAGCTATTTGTAGGATGTTTATTTTCCCGTCTCGCCAGATTTTTATTCCTGACTTTGTGAGATGTTTATTCCTCGTCTTTCACTATCGTCGAGCTTAATTGTAAGCCCTCGTCTACCTAAAACCGCTTATAAGACTTTGATAGTTCGAGAGCTATTTGTGGGATGTTTGTTCTCCTGTCTCGCCAGATGCTTATTCCTGGCTTTGCGAGATGTTTATTTCTTGTCGCTCACTATCGTCGAGTTTAGCTGTAAGTTCTCGTCTATCTGAGATCGCTTATAAGTCTCCGATACTTCGAGAGCTATTCGTCGGATGTTTATTCTCCACCCCTCCAAATGCTTACTCCTGACTTTGCGAGATGTTTATTCTTCGCCTCTCACTATCGTCGAGCCTAGCTGTAAGGCCTCGTCTATCCGAGACCGCTTATAAGATTTCGATAGTTTAAGAGCTATTCGCTGGATGTTTATTCTCCGTCTCGTCAGATGCTTATTCTTGGCTTCATAAGATGATTATCCCTCGTCCTTTACTATCGTTGAGCCCAGCTATAAGACCTCGTCTATTTGAGGCCTGCTTATAAGTTTCCGATAGTTTGAAATGAGCCACCAGTTCGATATTTATTCCTCACTCTACAAGATTCCTCATCGTATGAGTTATTGCATTATAGCCGCATTTATCTTCGAAAAGCTCATAAGCCCTCTACATTACAGCTATCTATCTTTTAGAGTTTTGTTTCTTCATCAGCTATATCCATCTACTTATCTAGAGAGTTTACATTATCCTCGATATGGATGAACCATCCACCATGTAAGGATGTCATTCATCGCTTCGTAAAGAGATGGTGGACCCACCTTTTTACCTACGAGGACGAAGCCTTCCATGGTTGGATCAACCACCATGAAGAAAGCCCTTGCACAGAAGAGTAAACCCCTTAAAAAGAGGTAAAAATAAAAATAAGTTTCGACAAGGAAAAATGTGATGCCTCTCACGAGGAGCCACCCCTTGTTACCTTAGAAGTTAATCCCTTCCATGGATAGACCAACCTTGGAGAAAGCCCTTGATATGGATGCGCTATCTCCTTGTAAGGATGTCAGTTTATCATAACTATACATATTCAGAGCATGGCCTCTACTACTCACATCTAGAGCACCACCTCTGTTGTTTATATTCATCTTAGCGTCAACCTCTAAATACATTTAGTTATGTTCAGTTTAGAGTCAACCTCTACATCGTATCATCACAACTACTCATATTCAGAGTATCGTCTCTACAACTATATATAGCTTCTGCTACTTATGTATTCAACTTCGTCTTTGCATCAATTTCATCACAATGACTTATATTTCAAGTCCACATATTATATAAATATTCAACTAGAGAGACTATTGTGATTATTGTTAGTATATATTATATTATTGCTGCCAAGTATACATGTCACATCACTGTTAGCATGCTTTATGGCCCATGACACTATTTTCATTACAGACAATACATATGTTATGTTATCATCATTTTCATTTTATTATCAATATATTGCTAAGTTACAAGTAATTTTTACAATTATAATTTTATTTTTTTTACTTTTAAATAACTTTAAGCGATTTTTTTTACATATATTTATGAAATTAACACTTTTACTCTTGAATTAACCCCCTCAATTAATTATTATTTAAACGGTTAGTAAACATTTTGATTGATATTATTTTTTGGTCATCCAAATAGTTACTATATATATCTTTTACGTACATATATAAAAATAATGTTTTTATTTATTAACAAATGAATATATTTATTTTTCGAGAAATGAGTTTTTATTATCATTTCATTTTTATCATGAAATGATTCTAATCTTAATATGTTAGATTGTGCTTCAAAATTTACATAATCTATCAAATATAATCTTTAAAATTAATTTTTATAAAGTAATATGTTTTTATGATTTTTTTTTAATAAAGTAATAATGGAAAATAATACTCGAACCTCTATAATTGTTATGGAGGCTCAAGCATGAGCCTCCATGTAACGAAGGCTCCATAATGGAGGCTCATGTCTTAAGCCTCCATACTTATGGAGGCTCAAGACATGAGCCTCCATAACATATTATATTATAAAAATTTAATTATTTTTTATTTTTTTAGTACTATTATATTTCACCTTCCAAAAAAAAATCATAAAAATATATTACTTTATAAAAATTAAATTTGATAGATTATGTAATTTTGAAAGACAATCTAACATATTAAGATTAGAATTATTTCATGATAAAAATGAAATGGTAATAAAAACTAATTTCTCGAAAAATAAATATATTCAATTGTTAACATGTTTGATCTTCATTTTTTTAAATTTATTTTTTTCAAACATATTTTCAATCATATATTTATGGAATTCACATTTTTGCACTTGAATTAACCCCCTCAATAAATTATTATTTAAACGGTTCGTAAACATTTTGATTGATATTATTTTTTGATCATCCAAATGGTTACTATATACCTTTTACACACATATATAAAAATAATGTTTTTATTTAAACTTACTTATATACTCAAAAATAAACTTTCTAAAGATACATGGTTGATAGTTTGAGAAAATGGTGAAAGAGATAGTATGGAGAAATAGAGAAGCATGGTTGTAGCGTGTAAAAATGGAGAAAGAGTAAACCTCCATTGTTTTATGTATTTTTATTTTAAGAGTATTAAAAAAATTAAGTTGATTAAATGAAATTAAATTATTGTACTGAGAGCCAATGAAGGAAAAAGAAAATCAAAAAATGCACGTTGGAGCCTCCGTAATTACGGAGGCTCATGCTTGAGCCTCCCATGGAGACTTCCAGAATTTTGAAAAAATAAATATATTCATTTGTTAACATGTTTGGTCTTCATTTTTTAAAATTTATTTTTCTTCAAACATATTTTCAATCATATATTTATGGAATTTACACTTTTGGTCTTGAATTAGTGTGGAGAAATAGAGAGGCATAACTGTAACGTGTAAAAATTGAGAAAGAGTAAATAGGACTCTACGACATAATCCCCCACGTCGCGTAAATTGAGGAAAAGCAACAAAATCACTGTATCAAACACGTAAGATAAACGATATCGTTGCTTTCTCTCAATAAAAAAAAAGTTACAGTGAGACAAAATGGAAGAATCTACTGTTCTTTCTACAGTAGTGAAATATTGCCCTTTTATATAGTAGTGATATATATATGATTTCATTCATAACCAAGGAATGTTAAAAATTCTTAACCAAACCTCCTCTCCCGTCTCTTGCACTCTTTATATTTTGTCCAACCGTTGACTTAATCGATTGGATCATTTTCTCGACCGGCAGCCTTTGCCTTCTAAAGGGGTGCTCAGTGTGCAGGTGATGTTTACGTGGAGGGGACGGGGTCAAAATTTTGTTGGTGCATTTTTTGGGGTCAAGAGAAGGAAATCTTTTTTCACCGTAAATTAATTCTGCAATTAAATTTATTTAGTTAAAATTTGCTGTAAGGGTTAAACTAGTTGCACAGCCCTATTCCCTGTTTGGACAAGGGCTTATCCCCACAGCATAACTCTTTACTGTAAAGAAATATGAGTATTGAAAATCAATGGTTCGTACAGCATGAAGTGTGTAGAGAGTCTAGCTCTCGGTCAGTCGCGCATTTGAATTTTTTTGAGATTAAAATTAAATAGAAAAATATTATAATTTCTAGTGTGCAAGGGCCAAATCTTGTTTGTCATTATTTATCACAATAATTACAGAGAAAGACTAATTCAGTTTAAAGTTCTAAATCCAACTTATAAAAATGTAATTAAATGATAATAATTATAAATATGTAATGAAAATTAATATTAATTTAATTCAACTTATAAATCGTTTCTAAGTCTGTATCGGCTAAATAACTAGCCACCATTGGTTTAACAAAAAGATGAAGCTTAATTTCAAAACAATCGGACTCTTTTTCACAAATTCTCCGTGAATATGGTATACAAAGAAAGAAGAAATCGTAACACAAACGAGAACTGAGGACTTAGGGTATCATCAAAAG